GGCCCCTTTGCCTCCTGGTCACGGCTTGGCTATGTCGACCAGGGCGCTGATTTGAGATCCAAGTAAATATCGTCGTCTGGTTGGTCGTCTCATCTATCTGACTATTATGCGCCCAGACTTGGCTTATTCAGTTCATCTCCTGTCTCAATTCATGCATGAGCCCAGAGTTGACCATCTCAACGCTGCTATGCGTGTGTTGCGTTATCTCAAAGGTCATCCTGGTCAGGGCATCCTTCTCCGCGCAGATAGTAACTTACAGATTATGGCGTATTGTGACTCTGATTGGGCTACATGCCCTCTCTCTAGAAAGTCTGTCAGCGGCTATTTTGTCATGTTGGGATGCTCTCCCATTTCTTGGAAGACCAAGAAACAGACTACAGTCTCTCGCTCTTCTGCCGAAGCTGAATACCGGGCCATGGCTGACACTTGTTACGAAATTCGGTGGATTCAGCATATTCTTGGATGCCTTGGAGTCGCAACTACCGCAATTCCAAGGCTATACTGTGATAACCAATCTGCTCTCTACATCGCTGCTAATCCAGTATTTCATGAGCGTATGAAACATGTCGACATCGATTGTCATATTGTACGTGAATGTGTACGACGTCACGAGCTCTCAACTCATTACGTTCCCACGCGACTACAGCTAGCTGATTTGTTTACCAAACCTTTATCTCATCCTACTTTTTCGTTTCTTGTATCCAAGTTGGGCATTCACGATGTTCATGCTCCAACTTGAGGAGGAGTGTTAACTAAGATTATTAGGTTTAGGTTTAGACTTCCATACTGGGCTTAAGCCCACTGTAATTATGTAACTATATATATCGCTATGCTAATGGAAAATCCCACGAGGTTGTATTTTCTAATTCGATACAGCTTCCACAATTTGGCATTAGATACCATGAGTGTAAAATCTCTACTAATTTCCAGCCTATCTTATTATTGAATCCTTAATGTCAATGTCGCTCCATTTAAGCCTTGTCTGATTTTGAAAAAAAAATGGGATACAGTATTCTTTCATTTTAGTAGAACCCCAGGCATGATAGGAAAAACCCCAGAAGAGATTAACTCGTTGTTTGGTAGGCTAACTTGAGCAGAATCAAGGTCTAATAAAAGTTGCTGTTTTAGAGATGATCCGTTAGTCTGTTACTTGACTCTGCATCAATGTGTCCTAAGATCAAATCTGAGGCACTCTGTTTTTTCGAATCTCCTTAATAGAAATCCCGTGGCTTTAGAAAGTTACTTCACCTTTTTTTATCCCTCTAAGCGTGACCTAAATTACAAATGATAAATCTTTTGTTTAAACAAAAGTACCAAAATGAAAAAACAAGAAGAGTTGCTCAAAAAGTAAAATCAACTTTTGATTATGATGACTGGAGCTGGAAATAGGTTACGAATCAACTTTGCACAAGAATTGATATTTCTGAGTAAAACATCAGAAACGTGATTTGATATCCTTTATGTGAATGTGATATACAACAAAATATGAGAATTTCACAATTTGCTGATCCATTTATTTTACTATTTCTTGTTTGTAATGTTCTACTGTGATGGAATCTGATAACTGCTTAGGGTCCGAAGGGAATGAGATACAATATTCTTGCATTTTAGAACCCCGAAGAGATTGATTCGTAGGATAACCCAAAAGATATTGATTTCATCTTAGACCATACTAAATTAAATCTATGATCATTCTTTTTGTTCTATGTTATTATTTTTGTAAATTGTTTTGCTGATATTTCTTATACTTTGATGATCATCATTTATTCGTGTTGTTTACAAGAATGTTTTCAAAAGCTACAATTTTAGTAATTGTTTGTTCAGGCATGTAAAATGTTGGTTTTGATAATGATACTAATTTTCAGTTTCATTTACAAAAGCATTACAATATGTCTGACTAAAAGATCAGAAACTCGATTTGATATGATGTATGTGCTATTTTTGCCAAACTGTTTGATACAGAATAAAAGATGTGTCATTTTTTTTGTAATGTTTTGATGTAATCTAATCCATATGCTACTTTTATGCTCGTCTAAGTCTCATTACTACTAATTCTTGATAGGATACAATATTCTTGCATTTTAGAACCCCGGGTATGGTGAATTGAAACTCGGAAGAGGTTAATTCGTTGCTTGGTAGGCTAACTTGAGAAGAACAAATACCAGACAATACCTATTGTTTCAGAGATGATCATTCTTGTTTGTCACTTTGATGACACAAGAAACACAATGTAGATTTTTTGTTATAAAAAATTATTTGAATTCGTCTTTTAAAATGTTCCCTAAATTTTCTCTTCCCAGTTTTATTGTCTTGTCTACTGTGTTTAGGTGTTTAACATATAAAAGGAATATAAGAGAAATAATCTTCTTTGAGGGTAAGGCTATATGGGCTAGTCGTGACAAATAAGACTCATTCAGTTGATATTATTGGGCCAAGTAACATGTTGGAGAGTTTTATTTGGGATCCAGGCCCAATTTACTATTGTTAAAAAGATTCAGCCATCTCTCATCCCTTTTCTCTTTGTTAGTACCGAAAAAAGTAGGTTTAATGCGGAAGCTAGCAAAGCGAACCTCGAAAGACCATGAGTAAGAAGACAAACAAAAATATATCAAAACGACACAAAATTTTTTAATATGTTTCGGTCAATCGACCTACATCCACAAAGAAGATGCACAATCCAGTATAAAAGCTACGGTTTTAGAGATGATTTGTTAGTCTTTTACATGGCTCTGCATCAATGTGTTCCTTCGTGCAGCTCCACTTGTATTAAAAAAGTAGTAGCTAGGATCATTCTTTTTGTTCGAATGGAAGTATCGCTGTGCATCATTTATTCATGGTGTTTACAAAAATTATTTATTTCGTCCTTTCTCTTTTGCGAGAAAGTAGAATTGAACGGAGGGAGTAAGGCATTGCCTCCAGTTTATTCGACTTGTCATGTCTTTCTTTGTACCTCCTTATGCAAATATTAGCAATAAAGTGTATGTTGTTCATCTTGTATTCTTAAGATACTTAGAACAAAATTTTGAAGAACTTGGTAAGATATAATAACATTTAAGAACATCTTCACAACTAGAAAATTTAAACTATTGGAGAAACTAAAATTAGAAACGAATCAGAAAAAATATACGAAATATTTTTGTTAAAAAAAATTATTGTCAATATGTGTTTAAAGAATCTTACTGACTCAACAAACTTTGCAGAAATACGAAATTATCAAAGTTTAATGAACCAATGAATAAAAGAATAATAAAAATTAATTCACAAATCTAAAATTGATAACACATACCAGAATCTGGAAAAACAAAAAGAAGATCAAGTCTACTGAATGTACAGTGTCCCCTTAAGGAAATTATTCTCCTCTAGTATCCGAGGTTTGATTTTGAATATGTCCTCCCAAGATAAAATGATCTTAATCACAAGTGTATTGATAACCAAAGCGCTGGTGTCAGCTAGCCAGTCAACGATAGTAAAGTACACTTAAAACAGTAGATTTAGCAGTAGTGGAAGAAGTCCAGTAATTATGTCTTAAAATGAGAGTAGATCCCTCAGTTTATAGAAAACAAAGGTAGCGTAAAAAAGTTCTTATTGTGCCTTACCGGAAAGGTCACAAACATTTGAAAAGTCACAATCTTTCGAAAAGGTCACCACCTTTCATAAAATTCACAATTTTTCATAAGAGTCACAATTTTTCATTCAAGTCGCAACTTTTCATACAAGTCGCAACTTTTTGTAAAAGTCGCAACTTTTCATTTAAATCACAACTCTTCATAAAAGTCGCAACTCTTCATTTTCCATTCACACCTTTTAGAACCAACAATCTCCCACATGAATGGGGAATGACTTCAAGACAAAGAAATGGACAAGTATGTGTACTTTACCAGCAAATTGCATCTGGATAAGTAGGTTTTCCCTTGGACATTTCATAGTAAACATATGTCGGATATGTTCGATCATTCGGTAAATGTAATATCTTTGAATATTAT